TCAGGGCCACAAACGTTGAGCGGTTTCCCCCCTGAAATGTGATCCGAATCGGTTCTCTTTTCCGTAGAAAGCCTGCTGTAATTCAATATATCCGAGAGAAAGCCGTGATTCACACTTGACAGGGAGATGTGGCAATTTTTTTTACTTTCTTTGGAGTGAAGCACCAACCACACGGCACGCGATTTGTCTGGAGCAAACGGTAAACTTGGCCCTTTGATGACTTGTGGACTTCAGCTCCCAGAATTCCTCAGCATGGACCATGTAAGCCAGGGGTCTTCAAACATGGCCCTTTTATGACTTGTGGACTTCAACTCCCGAATTCCTCAGCCACCATGGACCATATAAGCCAGGGGTCTTCAAACTTGGCCCTTTGATGACTTGTGGACTTCAACTCCCAGAATTCCTCAGCCAGCATGGGCCATATAAGCCAGGGGTCTTCAAACATGGCCCTTTGATGACTTGTGGACTTCAACTCCCAGAATTCCTCAGTCCGCATGGACCATATAAGCCAGGGGTCTTCAAACATGGCCCTTTGATGACTTGTGGACTTCAACTCCCAGAATTCCTCAGCCCGCATGGACCATATAAGCCAGGGGTCTTCAAACTTGGCCCTTTGATGACTTGTGGACTTCAGCTCCCAGAATTCCTCAGCCCGCAGGGACCATATAAGCCAGGGGTCTTCAGGTTTGGCCTGTTGATGACTTGTGGACTTCAACTCCCAGAATTCCTCAGCCAGCATGCCTTTGCTTAAATGAGGGCTTAGACCGGAGGCGTCCAATCTTTGTGACTTTAAGACCTGTGGACTTTAACTCCCAGAATTCCTTTGGCAGCAATGCTGACTGGGGAAGTCTGGGAGTTGAAGTCCACAGGTCTTAAAGTCACAAAGATTTGACGCCCATAGTGTAAACCTTCATTTAAGCAAAGGTTCTCTTTATCCTTCAGAGCAGTGGTTCTCAACCTGGGGGTCGGGACCCCATTTGGGGTCGAACGACCATTTCACGGGGGTCGCCAAACAACGCAGTCCGCCACTTTTTCCCCCCTTTTCCTTAGCTGTGCTACTCCCTTTTCTTCTATTGGCTTTTGAAAGCCAATAGAATAGACTCTCTTGAGTAGAGTCTAATTCTATTGGCTTTCAAAAGCCAACAGGAATTGTCCAGGCTGTCTCTGCCCTGCTGAACCCGCCAAAAGTCCCAGTCTGCAAATGGTGCTGCACCAGTTGAGTAGTCCTCAACTTACGACCGGTTGAGTAGTCCTCGACTTACGACCGGTTGGGGGGTCACTGCATTAAAAAGGTTGAGAACCACTGCTTCAGAGGACAGACATTAAGGGTCAAGGGGGGGCAATATTGATGCTGGGGGGGGGGAGATGGTTCCCCACTGTTTCAAAGGACAGCAGAGAGAATGCAGGTAATCCCTCCCCTTACAGTCATTTGTTTAGTGACCATTTGAAGTTAAAATGGCACTGAAAAAAAAAATGACTTGTGAGCAGAGACCTGGTTTGGAGGAAGAAATAGGAAAACCTGCAAATGAGAAAGAGAAGCTGAAGATGCAAAAAAAAAAAAAAAGAAAAAAGAAATTGTGCAAAGGTCACAAATGCAAGAGAAGGACAAGGAGACACGGACAACTCACGAATCGAGCAAAGAGAGCTAAATGTCAAATTAAAGTTAAAATCCCTCACTCCAAATCCATGGGCCGAACTGGGTGGCCTTGAACCCATCTCGTCTCCAATTTTTTTTTTTTTAACCTTAAAGGGGCTACTTAAAAGACATTTCCCGAAGTCACAATGTAGATTAATAAGGGTACTTCTGCTACCATTCTGTCAGTTTGAGAATTACCAAGTTATTTCCTCCAGAAAAAAAACGCAGCGTCAACATTCTGGATGGGGAGGAAAAAAGAGAGAGAAAAGGCACAGAAAAGAACAACAAACCTGCAAGGTAGGAGAGCTGAATCAACAGCCTGGCCCTCCCAGGCTTGGATTAAAGCCAATTAGCTCTGCTCAATCCTCATCTAAGCTATTAATTGCTAATGTCTCCCTGCAAACTGACACATTGATTTCAATGGGGAAAATGCTAGCTGAAGAATGACAAGGGGGGGTCAAGGCTCTGAAGCAACGGATGGGTCTATTCCCAAAGTCTCCCACCCCCCAATCCCACCCCCCCACACACACACCTGGCAAGGCCCAGGAGCTCCTGGGAATGGCAATAGTGCCCCTTGACGCAAAAGGAGGACTTAAAGCAGAGGTGGTGGGATGCTCAGAGAAAAAACAGAGAAGGCCAGGACGAGACTAAAGGGCAGGGGATGATCTGAGAGTAAAAAAATTAAATGCAGCTAACTCTTTAATTTTGAAGTCACAACGGCACTGGAAAAAGGGACTGACGGCCGTTGTTCACACTTACGACCGGCGCAGCCTCCCCAGGGTCAGGTGATCCACATTCAGACACACATATATGATGGTTTTCAGCCTCCCCAGGGGTCACGTGATCCCCTTTGGGACCTTCTGACAAGCAAAATCCACGGGGGGGGGGGGGGGAAGAAGCCAGATTTATTTAACCACCGTGGCAAGGAAGGTCGCAAAACGGGGGCAAAACCCACTGGACTGTCTTGCTTAGCAACGGAAATTCCAGGCTCAATTGTGGCCGTCAAGTCAAGGGCTGCCTGTAATACAACATTAAAAATAGAAAATAAAAACTCCTGGGATATCTTCCTCGATGCCACAGGCTGGAAAAAAGAAGGGGCAACTTCCAAGGTCAGAGCCTCCATGGTCAGGAGCAGTGTGCTGCCGAATGGTGTTTTGGCCCTCGCCAGGGTCTCTTCCCCCCCCCCCCCGGATCTCCAAGGCTGGCAGCCAAGAATTATGGGTAACGGTACCTAGGGTGGGGAGGGGGCAAAATGGGAAGGAGTAGCCGCCACGCAGGGGCTCCATCCCTGAGAAGGGAATGCTGGATAAACCAGGATAAAAGGAAGCCCAGTTTTCTTGGCTGCAGAAGCCGAAGGAAAACAGGGGGGGGGGGCAGGCTGAGCCAGATCACATGTCCCCAGAAGACCCGGGTCTGGGGGGGGAGGTCGTCTGTATGGACCCAACTCTGCAGGTGGGAGGGGGAGGAGATTAAAAAAAAGGGGCACAAAAAGTGTGAAGAAGATTAAAGGGGGGGGGACAGGAGGCTCAGAAAATAAGGCCAATATATAATAATCAAACGTTCCTATAAAGCAGCGTTTCTCACCCTTGACCATTTTAAGGCATGTGGACTTCAACTCCCAGAATTCCACAGCCAGCGTTGCTGGCTGTGGAATTCTGGGAGTTGAAGTCCACATGCCTTAAAATGGTCAAGGGTGAGAAACACTGCTATAAAAGACTCATTTCCAAAATAAAGTCTCAAAAAGGGGAGAGGAAAAAGAGGAAAGGGGGGGGGAGACACCAAGCCCACCCCAACCGCCTTCGTTCAAGTTACACGTATCTTTGATGGGGGGGGGCAGAAGCCATTCCGATGACTCCCAGCCCTGATATAACCCCCCCCCAAAAAACCTAATCAGAATAAAATAACCCCCAAATAACCAAAAGAAGGGAAGGAGGTGAAAGGGGGGGGGACACCAAGCCCCGCCGTTTGCCCTCAAGTTACCTGTGTCTTTTTTCCCTTCCCACAAACTCTACCTGTGTCCTTCCTTGCCTTGAAATTACACGCATTCAGATGACTCCCAGCCCCCGCTGATATCCTGTGATATAAAAGGTAACCCTAATAAAATAATCCCCAAATGAAGGCAGATTTCTGCTAAAAGAGAGGGAGGGGGGGAGGACACCGAGCCCAGCCCAGCCCAGCCCTCTTCCCTCATGCTACACCTGTCTTTGCCTTCCCACAAGCTACATGTGCCTTTGCCTGCCCTCCAGCTACACGCATTTGTGTCTCCCCTCAAGCTACACGTGTATTTCTCTACCTGCAAGTTAGCCGTCTCTATTCCTTCAAGTTCCACGCATTCAGATGACTCCCAGCCCCATTGATAGAACAGCTAACCCTAGTAAAACAATCCCCAAGTAACGGCTGGTCTCAACAAGGGGGGAGGACGGGGGACACCAGGTCCAGCCCAGCTCCCTTCCCTCATGCTACACGTGTCTCTCCTTTCCCACAAGCTACCCGTGCCTTTGCCTAGACATGCATTTTCCTCTTCCCTCAAGCTACACGGGTCCTTCCCTACCCACACCTTACACGGGTCTCTCCCTTTTCTCATGCTACACGTGTCTCTCCCTTCCCACAAGCTACCCGTGCCTTTGCCTACCCTCAAGCGACATGCATTTTCGTCCTCCCTCAAGCTACACGTATCTCTCCCTTCCAAGTCACACGTGTCTTTCCCTTTCCTCATGCTACACGGGTCTCTCCCTTCCCACAAGCTACCTAGGCCTTTGCCTACCCTCAAGCGACATGCATTTTCCTCTTCCTTCAAGCTACACGGGTCCTCCCCTGCCCACATCTTGCACGGGTCTTTCCCTTCCCGCATGCTACACACGTCTCTCCCTTCCCACAAGCTACCTAGGCCTTTGCCTACCCTCAAGCGACATGCATTTCCCTCTTCCCTCAAGCTACACGGGTCCTTCCCTGCCCACATCTTCCATGTGTCTCTCCCTTCCAAGTCACACGTGTCTCTCCCTTCCCACAAGCTACCTGCGCCTTGCCTACCCTCAAGCGACCTGCATTGTCGTCCTCCCTCAAGCTACACGGGTCCTTCCCTGCCCACATCTTGCACGGGTCTTTCCCTTCCCGCATGCTACACGTGTCTCTCCCTTCCCACAAGCTATCTGCGCCTTGCCTACCCTCAAGCGACCTGCATTTTCATCCTCCCTCAAGCTACACAGGTCCTTCCCTGCCCACACCTGACACGGTTGTCTCCCTTCCCTCGTGCTACACGTGTGTCCCCCTTCCCACGTTACACGCGTCCAGACGACCCCCGCAATACCCCCCCCCGCCGCCAGGACGCGAGGACCCCCCCTCCCCTGCGCCCCCGCCGGCTCACCGTCAGGCCGGTGCCCAGCACGATCACGTCGTACTCCTCGTTCATGGCGGCGGTGACTGCAGCGGAGGCGGCGGCCGGGCGGCGGGCGAGGCCGGGCGGCGGGGGCGCGGCGCTGGGGGGCCTCCCTCGCGCGGGGGCGGCGGCGGCGACGGGGCTCGGGCGGCGGGGCCGGGGCTTGGGCGGCGGTTCGGGCCCGCGGCGGCCGTGAGCGCCGGCGCTGGAGGAGGACGAGGCGACGGCTGAGGAGAAAATGGAGGCGACGCTGCTGCTGCCTCCGCCGCCGCCGGGAGGAGACCGCGCCAGAGGGGCGGGGCCTTTGGAGGGCGGGGCGGGGCCTCGCCCGCCACCCGAGGAGGAGGAGCTGGAGGGCGCCCCAATCCCCGCCATCGTCGCCCAGGGGGCGCTGCCCGGCCGGCGGCCGTTATTGGGCTGCCGCGAGATGTCAATCAAAAAGAGGGAGGGTGGGAGGGAGGGGAGGAAAAAGGAGGCGGGGCGTTCCTTTATCCCACTGAACGCCACCCACCCGCCCGGCGGTGATTGGCTGCGCGCCCTCGGCCGGCCAAGGCGAGGAAGGCTCGATGCCACGCAGGTGGCGGCGGCGGCGGCAGCGTGCTTGGGAGGGAGGCGCATGCGTACCCGCGCGGGTGAAGCCGCTGCCCTAGGAAGCAGCGGACGGCTGGCGCGTCCGGGGGATGAACATGTGACCCGCTGCCCAGAAGAGGCTTCAGCCAAGCCAGGGGTAGGCAACCTTGGCCCTTTTATGATTCGTGGACTTCAACTCCCAGAATTCCTGAGCCAGCCATGCTGAGGGGAAAGGGAGAGGTTTCCATGCTGAGCCAGGCTTGTTCAGGGATTATGGGAGTTGAAGTCCACGAGTCATGAAGGGGCCATAGTTCCCTCAAGCTGGCTCAGGAATTCTGGAAGTTGAAGCCTGCAAGTCATGAGGGGGCCATAGTTCCCCCATGCTGGTTCAGGAATTCTGGGAATTGAAGTCCACCAGTCATAAAAGAGCCAAGGTTGCCTACTCCTGGTCTAGGAGGCTCACCGCTTAGAACAGGAGGACTTAGGCCAGGGGTAGGCAACCTTGGCTCTTTTATGACTGGTGGACTTCAACTCCCAGAATTCCTGAGCCAGCCATGCTGAGGGGAAAGAGAGAGGTTTCCAAGCTGAGCCATGCTGGCTCAGGAATTCTGGGAATTGAAGTCCACCAGTCATAAAAGAGCCAATGTTGCCTAGCCCTGCCCTAGGCCGCTTTATGACTCGTAGACTTCAATTCCCAGAATTCCTGAGCCAGCCGTGCTGAGGGGAAAGGGAGAGGTTTCCAAGATGAGCCATGCTGGCTCAGGAATTCTGGGAGTTGAAGTCCACCAATCATGAAGGGGCCATAGTTCCCTCATGCTGGCTGAGGAATTCTGGGAGTTGAAGTCCGCAAGTCATGGGGCCAAGGTTTTCCCCATGCTGGCTCAGGAATTCTGGGAGTTGAAGTCCACCAGTCATAAAAGAGCCAAGGTTGCCTACCCCTGCTCTAGGAGGCTCACCGCTTAGAACAGGAGGACTTAGGTCAGGGGTAGGCCACCTTGGCTCTTTTATGACTGGTGGACTTCAACTCCCAGAATTCCTGAGCCAGCCGTACTGAGGGGAAAGGGAGAGGTTTCCAAGCTGAGCCATGCTGGCTCAGGAATTCTGGGAATTGAAGTCCACAAGGCTTAAAGTGGCCAAGTTTGAAGACCCTTTCCATTGAAACTCCGAATAAACAAGGCAATTATCTTTTGATATCTCTAAGCTCCTCCTGTTATCCCAATAACAACAACCCTGTGAGGTGGGTTGGGCCAAGAGCAAGCGGCAAGCCCAAACTCCCCAGCTTCCATCTTTAAGGGCGCGATTCAGCCTCTCCCGTCTAACATCTTAGCCGCTATACCAAGTTGGCTAATGTTTTTCCAAAAGGATGAGATACAAACTTGCTATAAATTCACCCAATACAGGCAATCCTCAACTTACCATTTCATTTAGTGACCGTTCAAAGTTACAATGGCATTGAAAAAAAAGGGACTTAGGACCGTTTTTCACACTTACGACCGTTGCAGCATCCCCTGGGTCACGTGATCAGAATTCAGATGCTCGACAACTGATTCATATTTATGACGGTCGCAGCGTCCTGGAGTCATGTCAGCCCCTCATGCGACCTAACTCAAGGACTACCTGTATAGTGTCAACTAGAAAATTAGACCGAGTCAACCCTGGTTAGAGTTACATGGATACATGTTTGCGGCAGCCAGCTATTCACTTGGTGTGGCATATGAAAACAGGTTTGCACATTGTATTACGCCACGATTGCTCTTTAAATAGGACCAATGGCTGCCAAACAGACCACAGTATTATATTATTCAAGAATTATGCTCTATGCTATGCCGGACTTATTCATCCGGAAGGCTGACTGAAACATGAATTCCCACAAAATAAGCCATACAGGCTAGGCCAGTGACGGCGAACCTTTTAGAGACCGAGTGCCCGAACTGCAATCCAAAACCCACTTATTTATCGCAAAGCGCTATTTTCCAAAGTGCCTGAAGGCAGAACAAGAAGCAACGGATGGAAACTAATCAAGGAGAGAAGCAACCTAGAACTAAGGAGAAATTTCCTGACAGTTAGGAGAATTAACCAGTGGAACACCCTGCCTCCAGAAGCGGTGAATGCTCCAACACTGGAAGTTTTTAAGAAGAGACTGGACAGCCATTTGTCTGAAATGGTTTGGGTTTCCTCCCTGAGCAGGGGGTTGGATTAGATGACCTCCAAGGTCCCTTCCGACATTATTATTATTATTATTATTATTATTATTATTATTATTATTATTATTATTATTATTATTAAAGTGCCAACAGGGCAATTTAATCTGAATACTGAGGTTTTAGTTTAGAAAAAAACAACTCATACATTAACATCTTTTGTCTTAAAAGAAAAACACCATAACAAAGCTTTCAATGATACAAACAACATTTTACTGAAAGGTAAACAGTTTGCATTTGGCATGCTATTGAACCATTAATGTGATTTTTTCTGTTGTATGCATGCTGATCATTTGTCCAACCTTGGCTCATACTTTGTACGTTTGAAAGCAACACATGCAGCACTCAGGTCATCTGTTAGTCTGTTTCTGGTGTCAGATTTGATAGAATTCAAAGCTGAAAACAGCCCGCTCGCTCTGGAAGCTTGTTTTGGCTAGGAAGGGGCTTGAGAAACAGCTTTTTTTTCTGTGAAAACTTAGCCAAAGAGCGAGGCACGCGTGCCCAGAGAGGGCTCCGAGCGCCCCCCTCTGGCACGCACGCCATAGGTTCGCCACCACTGGGCTAGCCGCTAGGCCACTGTTCCTCATCCTCAGCAACTTTCAGATGTGTGGCCTTCAACTACCAGAATTCCCCATCGACTAAAAGACTCCTCCCCCTTATAACATTTTGGGAAAGAGCCTCTGGGAAGCTTTTGCTCATATGTTATACCAGAAAAGAGTTGGAAATTAGGGTGTGTGTGTGTGTGTGTGTGTGTGTGTGTGTGTGTGTGTGTCTTTTTAATGCTCGTTCCCACCAAGTCTGTTCTCCTCAAAGAGCTGGAGAAGGTCAGGTTTCTTCGCCAGCTGCCTGGCGTACATCCCGGTGTCGTCTGGAGAATCCTTTAAACCTGCCTGCAGGAGGAAACGCACACAGGGTGCGTGTTGTCTTGCAGAAGCCATGTGCAGCGCTGTGCGGGACAGAGAAAGCAAAGCAAGCGTGAAGGCCTTGTGCACGCCATGGCAGCACGCAGCCCTCCGGCGTCAGTCCCTCCAGCTCTTATTGAAGTCAAGAATTTAACATTCGTTCGTACGAATATATTCATTTTGCCTTAAGCCTAGGTGGTTTTAGATGCAGATTCGCTGTATTTATTTCAGAGGTAAATTTAGCCAGTTTCCTCTAGTGCAGTGGTTCTCAACCTGTGGGTCGGGACCCCATTTGGGGTCGAACGACCATTTCACGGGGGTCGCCAAACAAGGCTGTCCGCCATTTTTTTCCCCTTTTCTTTGGCCACGGCCCTGGCACACGGTGATGTATAAGTGGTTGGGGGTCACCACAACATGGGGAACTGTATTATGGGGTCGCGGCATTAGAAAGGTTGAGAACCACTGCTCTAGTGGTTAAGGAATCAGGCTGGAAACTAGGAGCTGTGAGTTCTAGTCCTGCTTTAGGCAGGGTGACCTTGAATTAATCACCAGGAGACAGTGACTTCTAGTCCTGTCTTAGGCATGAAGACCAGCAGGATGACTTTGGGTTAATCACCAGGAGATGGTGAGTTCTAGTTCTGCCTCAGGCATGAAAACCAGCAGGGTGACCTTGGATTAATCACCAGGTGACAGTGAGTTCTAGTGCTGCCTTAGGCATGAAAACCAGCAGGGTGACTTTGGGTTAATCACCAGGAGATGGTGAGTTCTAGTTCTGCCTCAGGCATGAAAACCAGCAGGGTGACCTTGGGTTAATCACCAGGAGATGGTGAGTTCTAGTCCTGCCTTAGGCATGAAAACCATCAGGGTGACCTTGGGTTAATCACCAGGAGACGGTGAGTTCTAGTCCTGCCTTAGGCATGAAAACCATCAGGGTGACCTTGGATTAATCACCAGGAGACAGTGAGTTCTAGTACTGCCTTAGGCATGAAAACCAGCAGGGTGACCTTGGGTTAATCACCAGGAGACGGTGAGTTCTAGTTCTGCCTCAGGCATGAAAACCATCAGGGTGACCTTAGGCCAAACACCAGGAGACAGTGAGTTCTAGTCCTGCCTTAGGCATGAAAACCATCAGGGTGACCTTAGGCCAATCACCAGGAGACAGTGAGTTCTAGTGCTGCCTTAGGCATAAGAGCTGACTGGGTGACCAACCAGTAGATGGTGAGTTCTAGTCCCATCTTTGCTATGAAAGCCAGCTGGGTGACTTTGGGCCTATCCTCAGAAGACTCGTCCTAGAGGATGCAGACCCTGTAAGCCTCCTGCACCCCGCTGACCTGGTTTGGTGGTCCCTCAGGGTCTCATTAGCAAAGCGGCCTTACCAGTTCGATGCTTCTTATCCTGCACATGCAGGGACGCCCCCAAGGAAAGCAGACATTGGATCGTACCCTTGTGCCCTTCCTACATGGCAGAACAAAAACACAAATGAGTCGAAATTCAGACCAAGTTTCAGCTCCTTGAACTGTGGTTTGTGCAACCTGGATGGACTTACTCTATGGGCCTAGCCACAAATCATAGTTTGCAATCTGTAGGTTTTAGTCATCCGTAGGGTTTCTATTTTATTCTCAGCTCAGGAGCCAAAGAGGACACAGGCGATGGATGTCAGCTCCCAGAATCCTTTGCCAGGACCGCCCATCACATGGATGAAGGGACCTGGGCCACTAAGGCTGCATTCGTTTAGCTGGAAAGCAGAAGTGGCCAGGAACAATTGCAGTAGGCTGGGGAGGATGGGAGGTGAGGAAGAGGAAGAAAAGGCCAGGAGAAGGTCACACACCAGAGGGTGGATGTGTTCAGATGTTCCTCCTCTTCCTTCCTCCGCAGTAAAGACTGTTTTAAAAGTTGAAAGAATAATATTTTTTTTTTTTTTGTAAATCCCTAGTTAGACAAAATATTTAATTACTATAAGATGATGCTGAATCTGTTGGTTATTTGCCTTAAGGCACCCTTAATTGAGAGTCACTTGGGTCTCGGGGTCTAGGCTAGTGAATTCTAGTCCTACCTTAGGCACAAAAGCTGTCTGGGTGACTTTGGGACAATCACCAGGAGGCGGTGAGTTCTAGTCCCACCTTAGGAATGAAAGCCGACTGAGTGACTTTGGGCCAATCACCAGGAGACGGTGAGTTCTCGTCCCGCCTTAGCCATGAAAGTCAACTGGGTGACTTTGGGCCAATCACCAGGAGACAATGAGTTCTAGACCCGCCTTAACCATGACAGTCAACTGGGTGACTTTGGGCCAATCACCAGGAGACAATGAGTTCTAGACCCGCCTTAACCATGAAAGCTAATTGGGTGACTGGGCCAATCACCAGGAGACGTGAGTTCTAGTCCCATCTTAGCCATGAAAGTCAACTGGGTGACTTTGGGCCAATCACCAGGGGACAGTGAGTTCTAGACCCGCCTTAACCATGAAAGTCAACTGGGTGGCTTTCGGCCAATCACCAGGAGACAGTTCTAGCCCCGCCTTGGGCATGGAAACCAGCTAGATGACTTTGGGCCAATCATTCCCTCTCAGCCCAACCCACCTCACAGGGTCGTTGTGGGAAAAATAGGAGGAAGATGTGTTTTGATATGTTCGTCCCTTTCAGTCACTTGTAAAAAGAATAAAGGCAGGACACAAACACACAAAATAAAGTGACGCTGCCCCGAAGGCCAATAAAAAAAGGACAGAGACCTTTGCCGCATAATGCAGGGCAGTGAGACCGAGGACCGTGGCCTTTTCATCGACATCAACCCCAAGATCGGACACCAGGAACTGTAGCGCCTCCTCCTGTCCTGTGATTGCAGCTCGGTGCAACGGCTGGTTGCCCAGAGCATCTCGGATCTTACAGTCAGCCTGCAGGATGGGGAACAGAAAGCAGAAGACAAGGATTTGTGGTTATAACCCCAAAGGCATGCTGGGGAGGAGAGAAAGCATGTCTCAAGAAATCTTTCTTGACATTTAAGCCCAGGTTTTTCGAACTCGGCTGACTGAAGATGGGCAGATTTCAATTCCCAGAATTCCTCAGCCAGCTTGGAGAATTTTAACTATAGGTCAGGGATCTGCAACCTTGGCAACTTTAACACTTGTGGACTTCAGCTCCCAGAATTCCTCAGCCGGCCTCCATTTTGTTTGTTAGATTTAAGACAGAGGTCTTCAAACTTGGCCCTTTGATGACTTGTGGACTTCAACTCCCAGAATTCCTCAGCCGGCCTCCATTTTGTTTGTTAGATTTAAGGCAGGGGTCTCCAAACCTGGCCCTTTGATGACTTGTGGACTTCAACTCCCAGAATTCCTCAGCCGGCCTCCATTTTGTTTGTTAAATTTAAGACAGGGGTCTTCAAATTTGGCCCTTTGATGACTTGTGGACTTCAACTCCCAGAATTCCTCAGCTGGCCTCCATTTTGTTTGTTAGATTTAAGGCAGGGGTCTCCAAACTTGGCCCTTTGATGACTTGTGGACTTCAACTCCCAGAATTCCTCAGCCGGCCTCCATTTTGTTTGTTAAATTTAAGACAGGGGTCTTCAAATTTGGCCCTTTGATGACTTGTGGACTTCAACTCCCAGAATTCCTCAGCCGGCCTCCATTGTGTTTGTTAGATTTAAGACAGGGATCTTCAAACTTGGCCCTTTGATGACTTGCAGACTTCAACTCCCAGAATTCCTCAGCCAGCCTCCATTTTGTTTGTTAGATTTAAGACAGGGGTCTTCCAACTTGGCCCTTTGATGACTGGTGGACTTCAACTCCCAGAATTCCTCTGTGCCCTTCAAGTGCCCTTCCACTGCCAAGTGGCCTCAACGACTGTCAGAAGATCGCAAAAGGGGATCATGGGACCCTGGGACAGTGCAACCGTCATAAATATGAGTCAGTTGCCAAGGGATGCTGCAATGGGTGGAAAAGTCACTTTTTTCAACGCCGTTGTAACTTCAAACTTCATGTTGTAAGTCTAGAATTACCTGTACTCCGACGTTACCAGGGATAAAGCTAGCTTTTCAAAGGGACACCTGTCGGAGCAGGTGGATGAGGAACGCACCTGGTATCTCTCTAGAAGCACTTGGGCAACGTCCAAGTGGCCGTTTTGTATAGCGTCCACAAAAGGGGTGATCCCGCAGTGGTCCCGAACGTCCGGCGTGTAGCGGCACCTTGGAATAAATGCAGGAAAAAATGGGGAGAGTCGCAACTGAACCCAGCCCAAAGCACACTCAAGAGCCAGTTGGGGAAAGTAGTGAAGGTGCTGGACCAGAAACCAGGCGTGGTGAGTTCTAGTCCACCCACAGTCAGGAAACTGCCTGGGGGATTTTTGATCATTCTCTCAGCCCATCCCACTTTACAGGGTGATTGTGCTGGGAAAAACAAAGAGGGAGGCTTATGCATCCTGCCTTATCATATACAATTGAATTGAATTATTATTATTATTGTTGTTGTTGTGGTGGTGGTGGTGGTTTTTATATATGATATGATATGATATGATATATGATATAATAGTTGGAAGGGACCTTGGAGGTCTTCTAGTCCAACCCCCTGCTCAGGCAGAAAACCCTATACCAGTGGTTCTCAACCTGTGGGTCGGGACCCCATTTGGGGTCGAATGACCATTTCACAGGGGTCACCAAACCATGCTGTCCGCCATTTTTTTCCCTTTTCCCTAGCTGTCCTACTCCCTCTTATTGGTGGCCACACCCACTTGGGGGTCACCACAACATGGGGAACTGTATTATGGGGTCACGGCATTAGAAAGGTTGAGAATCACTGCCCTATACCATTTCAGACAAATGGCTGTCCAGTCTCTTCTTTAAAACGTTCAGTGATGGGACATTCACAGCTTCTGGAGGCAGGTGGTTCCACTGGTTAATTGTTCTCATTGTCAGGAAGTTTCTCCTTAGTTTTAAGTTCTTCTCTCCTTGATGAGTTTCCGCCTGTTGCTTCTTGTCCTGCCTTCAGGCACTTTGGAGGATAGCTTGACTCCCTCTTCTTTGGGGCAGCCCCTGAGAGATTGGAACGCTGCTATCATGTCCCCCCTCGTCCTTCTCTTCATTAAACTAGACCTACCCAATTCCAGCAACCGTTGCTTATATGTTTTATCCTCCAGTCCCCTGATCATCTTTGTTGCTCTTCTCTGCACTCTTTCTAGAGTCTCAGCATCTTTTTTACATCGTGGTGACCAAAACCGGATGCAGCATTCCAAGTGTGGCCTTACCAAGGCCTTGTAAAGTGATATTAACGCTTCACCTGATCTTGATTCTGTCCCTCTGTTAATGCAGCCTAGCCCTGTGTTGGCTTTTTTGGCAGCTGCAGCACACGGCTGGCTCCTATTTAAGGGATCGTCCACTAGGACACTGAGATCCCTCTCACAGTTGCTACTATTGAGCCAGGTACCCCCTATACTGTACCTGATTGTAATAAGAAATTGCAACAACAACAACAACAACAAACAACAATAATAATAATTGCAATAATAATAATAATAATTGCAATAATAATAATTGCAATAATAATAATTGCAATAATAATAATAATAATTGCAATAATAATAATTGCAATGATAATAATCATTGGAATAATAATAATAATTTGTAATAATTGATCAATGAATCATTGGAAAGGAAAGAGTAGAATATGACTAGCAGCAAAGCAAAAAGGAAGACCTGAAGGACCACGTTTGGGCCAGATCCTCCTGCAGGAAAGTGTATCTTTGTGATCACTAAGACTCCACAACAACTTGACAGTATATCCAGGTAGTTCTCGACTTACAACAGTTCATTTAGAGCCTGAAGTTACAACGGCACTGAAAAAAGGGACTTTGGATAGTTTTTTTCGCACTTACAACCGTTGCAGCAACTTCAAGGTCACGTGATCAAAATTGGGACCCTTGGCAACTGGCATGTACTTCTGACGGTTGCAGTGTCCCGGGGTCACGTGACCCGCCCTTTTACAACCTTCTGACAAGCACAGTCAATGGGGGAAACCAGATTCACTTAACAACCAGGCTGCTAACTTAACCATGGCAGCGATTCACAAGCGCAGTGGCAGGAGGGGCGTAAAAGCGGGCCAAACTCACTTAATGACCGTTGTGGGTCGTGGGAGGAGCAGAACTCAGCTCACCTTTCAAGGAGGATTTTCACGACTTCCAGGCGCCCGTGCATCGCTGCAAAACAGAACAGAGAAGGTAACACGGCTAGTATCGAAGACTTGGCAGCAGCTTCACTCATGGAATTCTGGGAGTTGAAGTCCACGAGTCATAAAAGAGCCAAGGTTGCCTACCCCTGGCCTAGGGGATGGATTGGACCCAGGGTCAGGGTAGCCACCAAAGAAGTTCAAAGCAAAATCCTGTCTAAGGAATTACACCCATTTTACAGACTGGCTTATTCACCCACTGCTGACGAAGCAACTCAACCATCTTAAGATGGGTGCACATGACGCAACCTGCTGTGTGGAGGGGGGTCCTTCCGATCCGGCTTTCTGTATCCCAAATGTCCGGAAAAGCATCCAGCAAGTATTGGATGACCCCTGGATCTCCTTCGCGGCTGGCAATGTGGAAACAATTCCAACCGTCCTTGTTCTTTAGCTGCGGGTTGGCACCTTGGTGGACAAGATCTCGGATGATCTCCAAGTTCCTCCTCGTACAAGCCATCATAAGAGGAGTCCTAGAAAATGGAGCGGAGGGAGAAGATCAACCTTCTCCAGCCTTTTCACAGGAGATCATCCAGACGAATTGGAAGAACAGCTCCCATAATCCCCTGCTTCACTGGGAACCAGCCAGGAACCTCTTTCGGAGGTTGAGGAACCTCAACTGAGTAAGTTGGTCTTCCCTTTAGATGCCTCCTCCAGTAGCGCAACAAGCATTTGGCAAGCTTGTGCTGCGTTTGCTTAATGACCGTGTGATTCCCTTAACAACTGCACGGATTTGGTTAACAGGAAAAATCAAAGGTACAAGTACAGATTAGGCAAGACCTGGATTAATTGTCGTCGTAAGTCAAGGACTATCTATAGATGAATATCTACATCATCTTCATCTACAAACCCAAGATTTGATTTTTTTTAAACATTTCACGGTACATGGCCCTTGTGACTCTGAGCAGCTAAAATATAATAAAAAGTAAAATATAAAAACAGAAAAACCACGCTCATCAAGCCACAGTTGGAATTAAAAACTGGCCCACTGGTCAGAATTCACACAGGCAATGCACCGGCTACTGCCCCTCCGAACTATGCCTTTTAATGCCTTAAAAAAGGCCAGCAGAGTCATGGCTAATGTGATCTCCTGGTGGTCACCCATTCAACACGAGAAAAACGCTTCCGTGCCAACCCACCGTACCAGTCGGCTTTTTTCAAGCAGTCCACAATGGCTCTCCGTTCCAGAAGGTACAAGACGCAATCCCGGTGGCCCATGGAGGCAGCTTCGTGGAGGGGACGCTTGTAGTCCTGGTTCACCAGCTCAACGTTCATTCCTAGGATCTCAATGAGGTAACGCAAGATATCCAGCTTGCCGTGCCTGGCTGCAAAGTGGAGCAAGGTGTCTCCCGACTTCTCCCAGTGCTTCTGCCTCACGTCTCTGTCCAGATCAGCAACGTTTTCAATCTGTTCTTTGAGAAGAGTAAACATCCCTTCCCGTATTAGCCGGGGAAAGAGGTTGGCGATTTCTCCTCCCTCCATCGCTGGTCCAGAGAGAAAGACCTAAAGCCCATTTGAGGCAGATGGGCGGTTTAGAGGGGAAAAAAAAAAGAAACATCTTTTATATATGTAAAAACGTACGGTATATTTATAATGAAATATATATTTTTATACAATATGTAATTTACGTACATACACAAAATACATATTTTATGCAATATATTACATAGAATATATCAATATGCAAACTTTATATATCTATATATTCAGATTTCTTTTTGCTGACAAAGAGCAAAAAGGAATCTGAATTTGTAATGTATCGCAGTAGCGACTTGAGCCTGCTTAACGCCCCTAGTATGGGGGCTGCAAGGCAAAAAGTGATTATAAAAAAAAGTAGAACTGCAGTATAGCAGTCAAAATGCCAAGGTGCAATCAATCAGACCGGTCTGTCTGAAAAAATTTCTGTATATATATATATATGTAGGTCTCTGGTTATTCGGGTTTTCTCCCGCTTCAAATTGGAAGTGTCTTGGCGACATTTCGATGAAGTCTCATTCATCATCTTCAGGCTGGTGCTTTCGGCTTCGTGCTCCTAGAAGCACGAAGCTGAAAGCACCAGCCTGAAGATGACGAATGAGACTTCGTCGAAACGTCGCCAACACACTTCCAATTTGACGCGGGAGAAAACCCGAATAACCAAAGACCTACATACAAACACCCACGAAAACCTCAGAAAATATATATATGTATGTATGTATGTATGTATGTACGTACGTATGTATTGATGATATCTGTGAAAATACGACTCATGGGCATAATTATAAGTAAAATAAATAACATACGACCACCAGGAGAATTTAAGTAAGAAAATACTTTACTAAAAACCGCCAAGCTTATGTATGTATGTATGTATGTATATATAATTTCATAAAATATAAATATCCAAAAATATTTTCAATATTTAAAAGTGAAATGAAAAATGAATTAAAAATATTTTTTATATTTTCTGTATAGATTTACAATATATATAAACATAGGAAATATACTGTATTTTTATACAATTTAAAAATATTCAAAAGTATTTTAAAAATAAAATAATTAAAAAATAAATGTTTTATAGTTTTTTATCCAATATTTTCTGTATATATGTATATATATATATATGTGTGTGTGTGTGTGTGTGTGTGTACACACATACACACACACACACACACACACATATATATATATATGCATATATAAAATATATATTATATAATATATATATATATAAAATATATATGAAATATACACACACCCAGGCACAAGAGTCAACTCAGCTTTGGGCGACCTCTTTCATCCCAGTTTTCACGTTTTTTTCTAAAAGCACTTTAGACAAAAACATCTGGAAAGCAGCTGGGAGCATCTGTAGCGGAACAACCGACGTTACGGCAAGATACTATACAGAACCCGGAAGTGACGGCTGTCAAGCACTGCACCCTTATAGCTTTTTTTCCTGCATTACATCATCAACTGCGCGGGACGCTTCATTGGTCCGCACCTGGCAACTCTTCCACGTGAAGGAGGAGCCATGGGGAGCGAGCTCTGCGATAGGGCGACAGAGACACACCTCTCGGAGGGCGGGTTTCGCGGGTCAGCACTTTAGGTTGCGCGTCTCCAAAGGGCGGGAAGTGGCAAGTTCAGGTGCGCGTGCAAGAAGGGCTGCTGGCCGCTTGCAAATTAGGGCGAGATCAAAGTTAAGCAGCCAGGATTAATTGAAAATCCAATTAATTACTAATGAGATTGTTTTGGGGGGGCGAGGGGGGGGGCTAGGCCTGGAAAGGATCGTCATCCAGGCCGAATCCTATCCTTATCCTGATTTTGCAGAAAAATTAATTGCTTTTTGGAAGGGAAGAAAAAAAAAGGGGGGGGTGAATTGCAGCCCAGCGTTTCTCAACCTGGCGCCCTCCAGATGCTGAGGTCTTTTTATAGTTAGTCTTAGACTTAAGACCGTAAAACTGCAGCTCCTAAAGTGAGAAAGTTATTTTTTAAAATATATATATATATTATTGTTTTTTTAATTTTAATCAAGAGTACTTTAAACCAGTGGTTCTCAACCTTTTTAATGCCGCGACCCCCAACTGGTCGTAAGTCGAGGACTACTCAACCGGTCGTAAGTCGAGGACTACTCAACTGGCGCAGCACCATTTGCAGACTGGGACTTTTGGCGGGCTCAGCAGGGCAGAGACAGCCTGGACCATTCCTATTGGCTTTGGAAAGCCAATAGAATTAGACTCTATTCAAGAGAGTCTATTCCATTGGCTTTCAAAAGCCAATAGAACAGCGGTTCTTAACCTTTCTGTGACGGCGACCCCGTCACACAAAGATTATGCGCATGCGCGGCGGTGGCGCGCATGGGGGCGGGGCCCCGCGCGCGGCGCGCATGCGCGGTGGCGCCCCCAACGTGCGGCGCGCATGGGGGCGGGGCCCCCGCGCGCGGCGCGCATGCGAGCGGGCCCCCGCGCGCGGCGCGCATGCGCGGCGGCGTTCCTGGAGGCGCGCCGCCGCCCCACGCGCAGCGCGCATGCGCGGCACCGCCCCCCCGGAGGCGCGCCGCCGCCCCCACGTGCGGCGCGCGTGCGCGGCACTGCCCCCCCGGAGGCGCAGCGCGCCCCCGGAGGGGACAAAATGGCGGATCGCCACCTTTGGCGACCCCATTAAAGAGGTCGATCGACCCCAAATGGGGTCGCGACCCATAGGTTGAGAACCGCTGCAATAGAATAAAAGGGAGTAGCACAGCTAAGGAAAAGGGGGGGGAAATGGCAGACTGCGTTGTTTGGCGACCCCCGTGAAATGGTCGTTCGACCCCAAATGGGGTCCTGACCCACAGGTGGAGAACCACTGCTTTAGACACGCCGTGGCGTTTGGGTAAACAAACATTTCAAGGTAAAAAAACATACATAAACAGCTCAACTTAATACATTCACTATCATCTCTCTATTTCAGTGAGAAAGTTATTAAAGTAACTTTTGAAAATCGCCCTGGCTGCTTGTCAAGAAAAAGAAAGCAAAGGAATGTGGAAAGGACTGGATGGAGCCCGCCCGCCGCCACAAGAGAACTGTGGGAAGCCAGCTCCCCCCCCCCCCAGAGAAGGAAATATGAAAAGGGCAGAAAAAATATATTTCCTCCAAGGATCTTAAAGAGTCAGGAAAGCATGCCCAGTTTTTCTTAATAGCCCCAGGTCTGCCTCGCCCCAAGCACAAACCAGCGCTGTACAAATGCAGATGTAAATCCAGGAAAGTTGCAGGCCCCCAGACAAACCAGGTTTCCTGCCTGAGTAGGGGGTTGGACTAGATGACCTCTAAGGTCCCTTCCAACATTATCATTGTTATTATTGTTGTTATTGTTATTATTAACGAAGAGAAGGACAAGGGGGGACATGAGAGCAGTCTTCCAATCTCTCGGGCTGCCCCAAAGAAGAGGGAGTCAAGCTATTCTCCGAAGCGCCTGAAGGCAGGACAAGAAGCAACGGATGGAAAATGATCAAGGAGAGAAGCAACCTGGAACTAAGGAGAAACTTCCTGACAGTGAGAACAATTAACCAGTGGAACTACCTGCCTCCAGAAGCGGTGAATGCTCCAATACTGGAAGTTTTTAGGAAGAGACTGGGCAGCCATTTGTCCGAAATGGTATAAGATTTCCTGCCTGAGCAAGGGGTTGGATTAGATGACCTCCAAGATCTCTTCCAACATTTTATTATTATTATTATTATTATGGATCATCGCACAGTCAGCCAGATGTTCAGACTGGATTTGACATTTTGTCTACCTATCGAGTCTTTACCCAGGACCTGGGATAGGCAGATGTGGATGTTTGATGGTATTACAGATCTCGTCGCAGGATGGAAGCAGTTCCTAATAAGGCCGCCTTTTGCAATTGACTAATAGCTAATTTGTTGTTGTTGTTGTTGTTATTACATGTTTATGCAATTAAATAAATTTAAATACAGGTCATCCTCAACTTGCAACGGTTTGTTTAGTGACTGTTCAAAGTTACAGTGGTACTGAAAAAAAGTGAATTAGGTCCATTTTTGACACCAACTGTTGGCAGCATCCCCATGGTCACGTAATCAAAATTCAAAGGCTTGACTCATATCTATGATGGTGGCGGTGTCCCAGGATCACTCGATCCCCTTTTGTAACCTTCTGGCAGGCAAAGTCACTGGGGAAGACAGATTCATTGATCAGTTGCTTAACACACTTAACAACTGTGGCAAGAACCAGGGATGTGCCATGTTTATGCCCCTGTTGCCTGCACATTGTTTGCAAGCAAAATTCACTTAACAAAGGTCTCACTTTGTAACAGATACATTTGTTGAATTTCATAAATAAAAAGGTATTTAAATAAATTGAATACACTTAAATGTTTAGGCAATCCATCAGGCTGGTCCTTTTCTGGGTGATGCGCTTGGTCGACAGTTCAAATCTCAGTAAAGAGTTAAACGAGTTTTACTCAACGAAAAATGTGCAGGCAACAGGCGCATAAACGTGGCGCATCCCTGGTTCTGCCGGTTGCCCCGAGCCAAGAAAGAAATTTGAGCCTCTAATTAGCAGACTGTCTGAAAGAAACATCTGGAAGGCATCTGAAACAGCTGGCTCGTTGGTCTAGGGGTATGATTCTCGCTTAGGGTGCGAGAGGTCCCGGGTTCAAATCCCGGACGAGCCCAATTTTTTTTCTCCCTGGGATAACCTCTTTCAGGAAGCAGAGAGACAAACACATTAAAATTTGATCGGCATCTCTTGGTATGTGTGGTGGCTAGGGAATTCTGGGAGTTTAAGTCCACCCATCTTCAAGTGCTGGCTGGGGAATTCTGGGACTTAAAGTCCACATATCTTAAGCAGGTTGGCTGGGGAATTCTGGGAGTTGATGTCAACAGAACTTAAAATAGTCAAGCTTGAAATATATTAATTTTTAGATGATTTAAGGATGAAATTCCCCCTCCGACCTCTGAGGGCCATACTTTCAAGGAAAACAGACTTGTTTTAAAAAGCTGGAAAAACGAAAGAGATCATTGTCGACTTCAGAACAGGTAGGTACAGCTACATTCCTCTGTGTAGTGCTGATTCACCTCTGGACGTGGTTAGCAGCATCAAGTTTCTGGGTGTGCAGCTAATGAGTAGACTAGCTCGGTCACTCAACAGTGAGACACTGGTGACAGCGGACACAGCAGCGCCCACATTTTCTGCATTGCATGATGAGAAAAGCACATCTTCCTTCCCCTGTCCTTATCACTCTCTAAAGCAGTGCTCTAAAGAGAGACGATCAAGAGCATCACTGTTTGGTTTGGAAGCATTATTGCTTCGGACAGGAAGGCAGTGCACAGAGTGGTGAGGACAGCAGAAAAGATTATCAGTAGTTCACTCCCTTCTATCCAGGACAGGGCATGTAAGCGATACTTGGGCGGGGTCCGCAGGATTTTTCTGGGGGGACGCTACACATCCTCTTTACGACCTGCTTTCCTTGTTACCTTCTGGGAGGGGGGGGGCTTTGTGGTATCCCAAGCAGAACATCCAGATTCGATCACAAAAAAGGGGGACTGGGATAGCTATTTTGAGCTGGTTAGCTTTCATCAGCCAGACATACCCTTCTGAGATTCGAACCTGGGCTGCACGTTAGGCAGCTGTGTTGACCTCTAGGCCACAGGCTCTTTCTCACTTTGTCAGCTGTATCAGGGAGAGAAGAGACCGGGGGAGGAGATTCACCTTGAATGTTTTTTTGATGCACCCTGTCGGCCCAAATATGGGAGGAAGAAATCTTTTGCCTGTATCAGCTCAATATATGCGTGTGTATGTGTCTGTGTGTCTGTGTCTGTGTATGTATGCGTGTTAGTCTGTGTGTCTGTGTGTGTATGTATGCGTGTATATCTATATATCTATATGTCTATCTAATCTATTAAATCTAATCTATTAAATCTAATCTATCTAATCTATCTAATCAATCTATATATCTTATCTATCTATCTACCAATCTATCTATATCTTATCTATCTATCTATCTATCTATCTATCTATCTATCTATCTATCTATCTTAAATCTATCTATCTATCTATCTATTAAATCTAATCTATCTATCAAATAATCTATCTAATCTATGTAACCTATCTATCTAATCTATCTATCTATGAGCATAGCTA